ATCGCGGCAGAGCAGGGATGTTGGTCCATGTGATCTGTCTGTGATCTATAGATGCCAAGAAAGTGCGGGAGGATGTGGGAGTGCACTAATCTCTCTACAAAACTTGCTGTACCTCCCCACAAAGTTCGGCGGCCCCAAGTCTTTAGCCCGAGCAACATTCACCAGACAGGAGGCTTGTAGGCGGCGTTAGTTCCGATAACGAGATGGAATTTCAACTGGAACTACCGATGATATTTTTTGGGGAACATTATCCGGGTTTTCCGAGAACAGGAGTTGAAGCCAGTCATTATTTCAAAGCTATTGAGTACTTCGTGGAAGTTGTTGTGTGGGAGTGAATTCATCGACGGCAAGGGTCTAGTTAATGATATTATCATCCCAGCCAGAAGCTCATCCTTGGCATATCATCATCAGGGTGAATAGGGGTGATCTCGCGTCAGATACATTTCTCATACAGTCCTCAAAGAACTCTCGGAAGACTCTTTATGCGATCGATCTTAGACGCATGCACACGTTAGCTACGCTTAAGACTCTCGCTCCAGCCACACTGTCTACTCCGCACAGGCAGGGTCGCATGGTCAAAAGACAAAAAGGCTGACATAATGGCCGAACGGAGTCGATTCACATACAGCTAACGATCGATATCATGCAGCTAGCAAACTGGCCAACAGGAGCGGGCAGATCCTCCTACCACAAAACTGCACATGCGTGCAGAGCATCACGACCTGTCAAGTAACACGTGATTCACGTGTCACCTCATCAGGTAATCTGCACGCGTCAAACATAATGAATAAGCAAGTTGTTGTATTCCAGGTGAAATTTCTTTTGGTTATAAATGATGCTCCTCCTTTCCTTCTTTTCTGGACTACTCTCCCTCACGGTGATGGGAGGCCCGGTGGTTGAGTCGCAGATGCTGCGCTCGCTGGCGAGTATAGAGTATCGTGAATACAAAGAGGAAGATAACATGTCCTTCTTGGTGGATGACTCCAATCCTGTGGATTGTGATATATTTCACTGTTGGGTCGCAGTGCAGAGTGGAACTAGAGTAAGACCAATTGCCGTAGTGAATTCGATGGTTGAGTAGTTGGCAGCAGGCTAATGAATAGCCAAGTAATCACATGGATATACATATATTCTCTTTGTACAAGCGGACTGCTTAAAGCATCTATCCTGCTTGACTTTATCGTGTTTTACGGAGTGTTTTAGTTCTGTGGGTTAGGAATGCATTGAGGACAGCATGGTGGATCCAGCACCTCGATGACACCTAGCTGTCTTTCTCTCAGGTGGTCATCGGCGTGGTGGTTATGTCTATCCCTAAGCCCGGTGTTCCAGATGATGCCAGAAAAGCGATCAACGCAAAACGGTGAGCATTACCCACTGAATATAATTCCTTATCATGCGAGGCGGAGCTCTTACATCTGTCTGAACTTACCTTATATAGGCCGAAAGGATGCAAGCACCCGGGTGGGGCCGTCGGCTTCATCTATAAGGTAAGCTTGATAGAATCCTCTAACTCGAAGCTGTTGTTATTTGCACTCTCAGGTGATAATCTCCGAACTATGGAAGGCTGACGGAATCGACGCGAAACTTCTATTAAAGGTCTTCGAAGACGTGAGTCTACCACGACACCTTTCGTGGAACTGTTAGACTCGTACAGTGCAGTTATCTATTCTCGCAGAGATGAGACTCCTTGAGACTCCCGTTTCAGGAACGGCTTCAGTATTTTTTCCTTTCAGCTCCCTAGAGTTCAGCGGAGTTGGGATGTCGTCTACACCTATATAAACCCTGCGAATTTTGCTCGAATTATCCTGTATGAAAAACTCGAGTTTATGAAAATAATGGGTAAGTTTATTTGGTCAACTGGGGACATGTCAGGATGTGTCTAAATCCCCGGCATCGTGCTCACTAGGCATCCGAAATACCTCTGTTCTCAGACAAAGTTGGAGGAAACCTTGTAGCTTATGCCCGCTTCAACACTTGAAAGGCTTTCGTCACAGAGTCGTCACGTCGTCAGACTTGTTATTCTCTTTCGTTCGTTCTTCAACATTACATGATATTTTCTGTCTTCTTTCCGAAAGATTGATGATCCCTGTCCTGATCTCGTCAACAGGACAATATTAGTCATCATTCAACATCCCTACAATCGTTACAACATCCGAGTACAGTAGACAATTTTTTCACGTACTTCGTCTGTGCGCTGCGCGTGAGAACACAGTACTACCTTCGCCTTACTATCAGTACGATTAGTCTTGCCAGTCTACAGTGTACCTCCCCAACCTACAGGATTTTCTTGTGTTACACGAGTTACGGGACAGCTTCCACCGGGATCTGAGCTCATCGACGACATCTAGAACAACGTCGTAGGTCAATCACCGCAACCATCAACTTTCTCTCGGCCGACTCTGCGGAGCTCAGCGCCCAACTGCATGATTTCGGGGAACGATAACGGGAGGCGTGTAGAATGGCTAGACTCATAGCACAAGAGAGAATGATGATGATCAACTGATGACTGATGCCTCCCAAACAACGGGTCAGATGAAAGTTGAATTAACCTTATCGTTGATTATGGAGGACACTTCATCCGCGTCGTCCACACGTGTGATCAGATGATCTGGCGAAATACAATAATAAAAAACGCAATTAATTTTCGTACTGCTAGATATGCTATGAAGCATATCTAGCAGTACGAAACATAGAAATACAACCGGTACGTTTACAGACGCCGGTTTAGAGCCCTACAACGCTCACGAGCTTCTAGAGTCTCCCGCGGGACCAGCCAACAGAAGCTGGAGAGGGGACCAGTCATTGAAAGGAAGTATCTAAAGCCAAAGCGATCCTTGATCAACATGTCTACGATATCGGCATAGGCTGTAGTCAAGACTCCATCAAGATCAACCGTGGAGTCACCGTAAGAATACTGACCACCAGAAGAGGCCAATTTTACCCTCTTCTCGACACATTGGAGACACTCTCTGATTACAGCTTCAGCAGCTTGTTTGAATTTTGGAGCAACAAAGTCCCGCGTAAACAGGTACTGAACATATCTCAGAGAACAATGTCCGTTCGTCAGATGATAATGACGAGAAAAACTAGAGAGTGGCTCTAGATCATTTGGAGGTAGAATACAGAATCTTGGAGATACAGCTTCACCGTCTCGGAACCGACACTCGACAACAAGACCATGCCCATCCAACTGATACCACCGTCCTTCTTTCCTCAAAAGTCGGCTGAAATAGTCGTTCTTGGACTCACCCTTCAAAGAGCTCATCAGCTGACAGATGAAACTATCGGCTTCTTGAATAGATCGTAACCGAGCGATAATCTCTTCTGGCTTTGCTGAGTCCAGCTCCATAACTTTCGAGGATACTTGAACAGGGTCATCCTCTATTCTCTCCTCTTCCAGTTGGTCGGAAGCGGAGGACTCTTGCAAAGCGGCGAGACAAGATGCAATAGGAGTAGCAGTCTCGGCTGAAGTTCTGGTATGTTCGGAAGAAAAGAAGATACCACAAGTAATAAGTAAACGACTAAGTTCATCAGCAGATGAATTTTTCAACAACAGCAATTTTCTCAAAAGCTAGCGTAATATCCATCCTATCAAAAAGAACTTGCACATCTTCGAAAGTGTTTAGCATACTTCTCAAAGCTAAACGCTCAACGCTCGTAGCATAGGTTGTCTCGCAACCAAGAGATAGCAGATTCACTATCCCTTACAATCGCCAAGGAAGAGGAGTCCTTCGATTGTCCCCGGCCCCTAAATAGCACACTAGTGTAATCTCACACACGAAGCATGCCGATACTACCTCCTGCTGGTGTGGCTGAGTTGGCCAACGAACCGGTGGAGGATGTTCCCCATTAGATGATATAACCTTACTAGGACCACCAGCATCAATTACTATCTGGTGACCAGATTCTGGTCTACCCACTCCTAAGTAAGATATACTCACTACAATCTACGTTGCCGCCGCCGAGCTCAACACTGTAGGTGGGGCCTCTCTAAGATGGTCAGTGACCATAACCCCCAGGGAGATGGCTGGTGTAGCGGCTGTTGGTACACTGTCTGCCTCAAGCTTTTCTTCCTTCTCAATAACAGCAGGTAGAGGCTCAACACCCTCCTGTTTTTGCATCTCAATCTTTGTATTCGTCCATTCGCCACTCTCGTCCTACACCAGTACTAGCTCAACACAAATTCAACTAGAAGCAGCGTACAAGGTAAAATCCT